GAGACAGACAGACGGAGAAGGCTCTTCGCACACCACAACACTACCATACACTCTGCTGATGTCGCAAAATCTGACAAACAAGTACCGGATCTTTTCCAGCAGTGGGAGAAGCATCAAGCAAAGAGGGAGGTCCCTTCTGGCCTCAGGCATACACAACGTGGTGCACGATCGATTATTCATTGCGGGAGTACCCCTCCCACCCTCCCGTCGCTCAGTGACATGTATAGTTGTTGTCGACGCGCCCACGACTATGAAACATAAATATTTGACCACGCGAAGTTGTACTACTGTGCCTCTCGTGCTGCCGCAATACACAAACGACAACACTTTACAGCTCAAAAGCGGCTAGCGTTCACCGAAAACAAAATGCGCCCATCCTTACGTTGCGGTCTTGCACGAGTTTCTTGGTGTTTTGCACCAACCCAAAGATGAAAGTCAGGGCCTCCTTTCCCCAGGCCTCCTGTATCTTGTCCACCATCGCCTTGACCTGCTGAGAGCTCTTGCCACTCACGAACACATCCTTGTCGTGGTCTGCTGCGTCCCCCGGAAACTCGCCCTCCCTACCGCCGTCACTCATGTCGTCGTCCCCCTCAGGCTCCTGTTCGTACTCAGCTTCGTCAAGACCCCCTTTCCCACCCCTACCGCACGTACGGCTCCGACTACCCTGCCGGCTGTGCTTATTACAGAACATTCCGCAGGGAGATTTCGCTTCGGCCCCACAGGGCTCCCCTTACTTAGGGCCGCTTGCGAATGTTGCAGTGCAAGTGCTGCGGCGCCCCCGCTTTCCACGCTTCTTTTTTGAGGGAGCTACGCCGGCACCACCTCCCTCTAACGTCTCTGACCCCGCAGCATCTTCCGCTTTGCTGCTGTAGAGCTAAAAGTGGTTTCTCCTTCGGCATGNAGCTCTTGCCACTCACGAACACATCCTTGTCGTGGTCTGCTGCGTCCCCCGGAAACTCGCCCTCCCTACCGCCGTCACTCATGTCGTCGTCCCCCTCAGGCTCCTGTTCGTACTCAGCTTCGTCAAGACCCCCTTTCCCACCCCTACCGCACGTACGGCTCCGACTACCCTGCCGGCTGTGCTTATTACAGAACATTCCGCAGGGAGATTTCGCTTCGGCCCCACAGGGCTCCCCTTACTTAGGGCCGCTTGCGAATGTTGCAGTGCAAGTGCTGCGGCGCCCCCGCTTTCCACGCTTCTTTTTTGAGGGAGCTACGCCGGCACCACCTCCCTCTAACGTCTCTGACCCCGCAGCATCTTCCGCTTTGCTGCTGTAGAGCTAAAAGTGGTTTCTCCTTCGGCATGGGCTTCTCCTTCGACCTAGTCGTTGCCGACACGCCGCTGGCGGAAGGAAGTACCGCGGGCTTCGTCACCGCTTTCCCAGGCGGCGTCGCCTTCCGCTCCGGTACATCCCTGGGTGACGCCGTTTTGACGGGCCGGGCACCTCCAGCAGAACGTCGCGATCGCACGCTGCTGCTTGTCTCGGTCTCGTCATCCACGTCGATCGGCACGGGAGAGTCCTGATGTTNCCGGTACATCCCTGGGTGACGCCGTTTTGACGGGCCGGGCACCTCCAGCAGAACGTCGCGATTGCACGCTGCTGCTTGTCTCGGCCTCGTCATCCACGTCGATCGGCACGGGAGAGTCCTGATGTTTCATCGGCCGCTTGTCCGATGTGGTTGGGCACGGGCAAAAAATCACAGATCGACCAGAGGATCCCCGTTGTAGCATGTACGGCTTTGCCCATGGGACGAATTCTTGTGGAATCACGATGGCGCTCAAGTGGTTGAATTTTGTTTCCGCCACGTTACTGCTGCTTGTGTTGCGCACTGTAGCCGTACCCGCAGCATACGTAGCTGCGTTGTAGCCCCCGAAGTCATTGTACACCAGGTGCAGAAACTCATCCCGATAAAGATCGCCAACGAAACAGCCCGTGGTGTCGCCTATTTCCACGATTCGAAGCCCACCTCCAGTTTTTGCTTCCCAGACCACGATATTGACGATATTGCAACGTTTCACCGCTACTAACGCTAGCTGACCTAACGCCAAGTAATCGTGCTCCAGTTGATCCTCGATGCCCGCCACCACCTCTCGCGCGGTCTTCAGTGGTTTGTACCTTACAGCTCTTGCAGCTGGGCCGGCGGGGGGGGTGCGCTTTCGGTAGAAACCCCTCTCGTAGCCGAGCTTGCCAATTCTCAGCATTTCCTCGTCAGACACCTTGTTGTCCACTAGCTGCTCTTAGTCCTCAGAGACAACAGCAGCTATTATTTCCAGGGCGATATCTTCGCGGGTCTGTGTATCTCGCTTGCTAGTGCACCGAAAACGCTATCTCGCTCGGGGTGCAGCAGCCTGTAGATGCTGTGCAGCGCGCAATGACCATCGCCTGCTACCTCCAGCACCTTGCAATTCGTGGTGTCCTCGGGGGAGATAACCGGGAGACCACCGCCAGTACGCGTTGAGGCTGCATGCAGCAGTTGTCGGCCGTGATTTTGTGCATCGTGTTCCCAAGATGTCATGTGTCTGTCTTGCCAACCGGGGTTCGCACTAGCATACCACGAGAGGCGGTGTGTGTGTGTTGCATCCTAAAGCTCCGCAGCGGCGTGCGGCCCATCATATAGCAAATAACATTCGTCGGATGACCATTGGCCGCACTCTCACAGTCTCGCAAAGCACGAGATCACGCCAGAGAGTTATTTCAACAAAAATCGCACGAAAGATGTAACTTGGAATTGCTTGTATATTAAATGTATGAAAATAGATAATAATAAAAAAAGATGGGGCCAAAAGATGGTCCCAAAAGTCGATTTTGCCCTAAAGGGGTTAACAGCAGTACAGTCTTAGTCTTGCGTACGTCCGCTCGGCCGCCACCTCGAATAAGTGGATCGCCTTCAGCCGCTCTACAACAGTCGGTTTAAACCGTCCTCCCCACGAGCCGTTTTTTTTGTCGTTGTTCTGGCAACCTGTTTTAATTTTTTTTTTGCATATCGAAGTTGCTGCTACTGAAATTTCGACCCGCGTACATGACATGAGAATCCGCACAACCCTGTTGTCGTGACCTGCAACTGCTGACGGATTTTTTGCACAAGCAATATGAATTCAAATCGTCTGAACGATGAAACACTTTTGCACGTGTTGCGAAAGCCAAACTCCTGTGCTTCAGCCGGTTCTCCGGCATCATCAAATCGGCGGGTCGTCGTTCATGCTGGCGCATACATGCCGCACGCCCTACCTTTCATGAGAACCGCCTTTTGCCCTCCCATGTTTCCTACAGGCCTCTCAACAAACGTCCATAACCGACCCAGGGGGAGAAAGGTTGGCGGGCAGCAGACTTTGCGGAGGGTGGTGCTCCCTCAACCCTATTATGGGGCCGCTGCACATATTTCCGTGTTTTTTTCTCTGGTGTTGAGGTTGCATTATTGGGGGGGGTGTTTGCGTGTTTCGCCCCGAACCCGTTGGGTGGATGGGGGGTACATGTTCGGGGAGTGTCTGGCTAATGAAAGGGTGCAGGGTGCAAGAAGAGCACACCGCCCATCGTCACGAGGAGCTCGAACACAATGGGGCATGGAGCCCAATGCCAGAAATACGTGGACGTTAACAACCCGAGGAACAGCCAGCGGCTGGCTGTGGACGGGACTGGGTGGCTGAAAGACGAGTATGGTTCCAAGCGTACAATGTCGCCCATTCACTGCTGACGGTGCTGCACTGCACCCAACCCTTGAGCTAACTTTAGACTTTACCGACAAAATAAAAAAAATGTGTGACGTGCCTGCCGTGTGACCCCGGCACATACGTCAACAATATGCGTGTACACTTGGTGTTGTTCTCATCTTAAAAAGAAAAAACGTTCCGATCTCCGCTCAGCACCCTCGATTGTTCGTACTGATCCAACTGACGCGGACGCCTTCCGAGGTCACAGGCAACCAACCCCAACAAAGGGGTACACCTTTCTAGAAATCAATCAACGGAAACAAAATTCAAACAAGAAAATATCATTCAACACGCGAATTTTGTGATAGCATCGTTACCCCAAAAAAATGAATGGGATACGATCGAACATGGTCAAAAAGGATTAGGAGCAAGATGAAACAAGGAAACGAGACAAGGGACAACAACAAAAAAGAAACATCGGAAATGGGACGAACATGCGCACATTCACGAGGTAAAAAAAGTATCGAAAAACGCCCGCAGGGACCCTGCAACACAAGTGTGAACGGGTACTCGCGACAATTGTACCTCTGATTCTTATTGCAGGGTGCGTAGCATTCGTGCTGAGGCCTCTTGTCTTCGAAAAAAAAAATAGCCCAACCCCGTGCCGAAATAAAAAAAAAGACGAAAAAAACGGGTGGATGGGGGGGGGGGGGGGGGGGGTACTCATAGTCGTGCATGCCGTAGTCGTTAGACCATTGACCTCGCATCCCTACAAAGCCGGGACGGGCACGCCGGGTTCTCACCGGACCAGGCTCTCACATCACCAAGCGCGAAGCGCCGTGAGATATTCGGCGAGTCGCATGAAGGGTGCGCTGCATCCTGCTAAGGGTGTTCGGCA